AATTCCGCAAAATAAAACAATGATCTACATTTATTGCAAAAATATTTATTTTTAGTTAATAAAGAATGACACTATTATTAAATTAAGCTATTAAGAAAATTTTTACATAAATGAAGATAAATTTATTTGAAGGGCCTGGCTCAGCTTCCAAATGCAATGCCCTTCTTTTTAAGTCCTACAAACAATCAATTATTACGGTAACGTTTTGAATTGTACACAAAAGGGTTGCTAAATTCTTAACAAGTGCATAACATAATAATGCTTAATTATGTTTATTAGTATATGCTCCTTGTTCGGCTGCATGTATTTAGGAAATTCAGGATATATAGTGGGAACTGTTACATTTAGTAAACGTCTTTTACAGTCCGTCCAATAAAAAAGTGTCTTTCAAAATGTTTTGAACACAATCTATCATTTGGCGTGGACATCCACTTTGCAATTTATGTTGCCTGAATCCAAAGATTCTAAAATAAAACAAATAAACATTGCTGCAATTAAATAAAAGTTAATATTTAGAATTGTACGACACGCCACTGGAAAAAAAGAGTGTTTGGCCATTTTAATATCATTAATTGCTTAAATATCAATAAAAAGCATAAAATATAAACAAGCTTGGTGGGTAAAATTTATTACTCTGGAGTGAGACATGTACAATATGTAAATACCAAGTTGTATATCTCCAAATAAAATGAAAAATATAAGAAAATATATAAAGTAAAAACGATTGATGATTTTCATTTACCTGTGAAACGTAATATCTACTTCTTTCTTGCCGCTATAACTTTTACACTGAAATGCCACACAATAAACCATTGTAATAAATCAATTATTAAATGTCGTTTAATTCAAAAATCAGAAATAAACTCGAACAAAAACTTTGGTGTCATCGAAATGCTAAGCACCAAAATAATGGCGGTCAATACGCTAGTTCAGTGATGATGTAATTATGGCTCCACTGATAATTAAAGTGACAGTAGATTTTTTGAGTGCGTTTTGTTCGTTTCGTTTACCTAAATTATATATAAATATATTCCTAAAGTAAGTAGATAACATGCATCAAATATACAATCATTTAGTTACCAATTAGGTACATACCTTTAAACTATTTTTTATGACCTGCAAACAATATTTAGAAATGAACTAAAAGTAGTAAAAACGTAAATGTCAAATTTATTGATGTTTTTGTTAAAAGTTTGGTTAGAATTAAATGTCAGTGGAACCAAAATGACATCACACCGAACTAGCGTATTATAGATAATCGGCACAGAATAATAGAATAATAGAATAATAGAAATAGTGCTCGATATACTTGTTTCGCGTCCTCTCTTTATCACCTAGTCTAAGGTTTAACCAATACACTTTTTGTCCGCATCATACATCGGACGGGGAAAGGGGTAACGTACGCCGTACATAGACGTAGCGTTTCGGGAGGGTTTTTATAAAAAAAAATATTTATTGATCAAATTTAAATAACAAATACACGTTCAATAGGTCTTCTGAATTAAAGGTAAATTTAAAGAAACAATTTACAATATACAGGGTATTCAAAAAACGGTCCTATATATTGTCTTATAGATTAAAATAGAAGCTCAAATTGAAGAAACATTTTGTATTTGAAAAAACGACGAGAAACTACTAGACTAATCCATTCATAGCTCATATTTATTACAATTATTCGACTGTGTTTTATATTTATTACACAGACAGAGCTGTTGCATCGGCTAAACCGATTTGAGTGGGGACAGTTTGTGCGAGTGTGTTTATGTGAGGAGCGAGCATGGTGCAATTATTTTATGAATGAATCAGTACTTACGACTATGACGCTTGCTTTACACTGCTGTCTCACTTCAAAATGAATTACGAACATTCCTGGAAATCACCTTCAACCAGTGTCTGACAACATAGAAAGAGCGTACTGTCAGAAACATGTTGCATATCTATTCTATCCGACATCTTTAGTACTAAAGGTGCATATAGATATAACGCGCCGGCCTGTGCCAACAGCGAACCAAGGTTCGTCAGATTTGTACGGTGTTGTGGTTCTACCGTGCGATGGAAAGCAACGGGCCTACTTCGATAATATTGGTCTGTTGTTGGGACAACGCAGGTATGGACCGTGCCCAGCCGCATATTCGGAAACCGGCGACATGTTAGGCACTCGGAAGAGTTCGATGCTACGAATGACAAACTCGTATAATCCAGACGTGTTAGAACTAATACGTCGGCGATTTATAAAACAAGAAATGTTTCTTTACTGTTAAAGGTATGGTCTGTTGTTTATTGGACATCAATCATCCATCACTCTTTAGAGACAATTTTAGTTTTAGTTTCCCTTTTCTATTGCCTAGATGCAAGTCTCTATACAGATTATTTTTTTATTTATTGTTCGTGCCATAATAGATTATTTTATATTAATAAAATTGATAATACATTGAAAATTAATTCAAAGATTACCTAATACCCCATATACCTTCTGGTGTACAAACAGCTGTCAAATATAAAGGAGTCTTGTGTAAAAGAAAACAAACTCAAGATACACGAAAAAAAAAAGAAGCATATTATCAGTACAATCTTCATCCATAGGTCACAAAAACGACAACAATGGGAGGAAAGAAGGCAATGTGCAGTGGAAGAGAACTAATTAAAAATAGAGTTATGAAAGCACCTCATTCGTTGGCGACGTGTGTTGAAAATAATATGAGATTAGGAGGAAATAAGTCAAAAAATCAGTTTTAATCAGTATTTAGGAATATTAAATTTTCTTTGCATTACAAATAAAAGTTAATTTTGAAATTTTAAAATATGTATGCGACACTAATTTCAACTATTTACTTCTGTTAAATATTTAATTAATCTTTTGGAATTTGAATAAATTTTCCTTATTATGTGCGCTATTAAATAAATATACCTATTTGAATAATATCTAATTGTACATAAACGTATTGATGACTCGTATTCGTAAATCACCGACGTCTTAGTCTAGCACGTCGATATTTTACGAGGCTCTTATTCTTGATACCGAACTAATCTGAGTATCTAACGTGTCGGCGGTTTCTGAATATGCCGCCTGGCCCGTCATATTTATACGCAGCTTTAGAAAACCGTAAATCGTTTGTTAATATAAATTCGGAAATTTTAAATATGTATCCTGTATCTCGCATTTCTGGAGTTCCTTAGGGTTCCGTTTTGGGACTGTTAATATTTTTGTTTTTTGTAAATTACTCACCCGTACATATTACATATAGAAGCAAGATTACAATGTTTGCAGATGATACTACAATACGGTTTCAGGCAAGACTCCAGATGAGCTTCAAAGAGATTGTCTTGTATGTAGATGGAACAATGGTGCTAGAGAATCTAATTCCTAATAAAGATAAAACAATATGTTTAAACTTCTATATAACGAACAAGAACAAACAGCTAACTGGTGATTCAAGCTGAGCGGGTAAATAGGCTCTGTGTTGCTGTTGTTATTAAAATTGTAACAAATCTATTACTATTGTATTACAGCGGAACTCAAATATATAATTTTGAATGTCATAATTTCAGTGACTACGATAACCACGGTAACAGCAATAGCCGCTGCACGGAAATCTTGATTTGCCACTAGAAATAATATATTTGAGTTGAACTTTACCTGTTGGAATATTCTATAAGAAATAAATTAATTGGTATAACTCTGGTAGTGTGTTTTGCCTACTTATACAGCGCCCGAAAATGAAATTTGAAATCGCAAATAGCGATCAGCGCCAATACGATGTCTAGGACCGGTGAAGTGCCATGTACAACTCGAAGACGCCCCATGGGGAGTTCTGACCTCAAACACACCCGTGGCTACACCAGTGAACCCAGACACCTGTTTTTGACTCCAAAATATCCTCCACCCTTTTGTTACACCCTGTATTAATAAAATATTAAATAACGACTTTAAGTAAACGAAAAATGTCAGTTTCTTCTAAACACTCAATTGGCTTTAGTTAAACTATGATCGAAACAAATTCCCAAGAATGTTCTTATTAGGGATGAAATCTTTAAGGGTGGTTAGGACTGGAACGCGACACAAGAGGTGCAACCACAGAATAATAGTGATTATTCTGTGGTGCAACGAATTTTCGAGGGAATCATTCTAATTATCGCTAGAAAACTGTCTACACGCGTCGGATAATTGCTCTGTCACTTTTATTTCTACATTATTATATTACATACTTTTAAATCAGTTAATATTAATAATCATAGCTTTAGTATTTTATTTAGAGGTAGTTTACATTATAGTACAACTACTGTCGGTGATAAAAGGCATGCGATTCGCAGTGCTGTTGTTTTAACACAATTTACAACTTTACTTAAAACAAACTGTGAATAAAATCGGTGGCTAAGTGCACCAGACATCATTCTTGAACGTATAAAATATAGGTACATATGTTTACTTTAAACTATAAATAAAATTTAAGTTGTTTAATATTTAATTCAGGGTCAACTCATTTAACACATCTGAATTTACAAACAATACTTTTTTCTACACGCCTTAAAAGATTACCCATTCAATAAATCAATCAATAAAGTCAATGGAATTTGATATTATCTATTACAGGAACGATTTCCTGTTGATTATCTATCATTAGATAGTTAATAGGTAATCTATGATGTGTTTAAATCAAGACGGAAAGATTAATTAAAAGGAAGCTTAGGGTGGAGTCAAAATATGAGAATTGATGATATCAGGAAGTTCAACAACGGATGTTGCTATTAAGATTTAATAATATGAAGAAGTTCTGTAATAATATCAAAAATGAATTAATAAGTTATCGGGAAATCATTGGGGAATATTTTTGAGCTGGTTCATTGATTTTTTATCGCAAAATCTACCTTAAAATTCTCTGATTGTCATGAAGTGAACCTAAGAGTCCCCCAGAGGTCTATGCTAGGACAACTGATATTTCTGCTGTTTATCAATGATTTGCCAAAGTAGGATTTTAAATCAACTTAATGACTCTATGTACCTTAAGTCTAATTTATCATTAGCTGTTGCAGCGCGAATCCATGATGAACTGAAATTGCTTGCCGAAACACTCATATACTGCTTTGTTAACTGATGCAAAGTCCAAACCAAACGGTCTTATAGTCAATATGGAAAAAACAACTCTAATCTTTTTTAGCTTGAATTTTAATTCTACCATCTGACAGCTAAAAAGCTTCAACTTTTACAAAATTCCTCGGTATCTATTTGGACCAATATCTTAACTGCTTGTAAACAGCTTAGCAAGGCCTACTAATCGATTTATTGTATAAAAGATGGTTTATACCTTTAATGCGTTATTAAATGTATACTATACAGTGTAGCATACAGTCATCTTATCTACAATGTTATTTCTGGGGCAATTTTTAAAGAAAGATCGGGTTTTTATAAACCAAAAGAAAATAATTGTTAAAATAGTTAACATACCATGGCATGAGTACTGCAAATATGTTTTTATTATTAACAGAATTCTGATATTTCCATAAATATACATTTTAAAATGCTTATTATTTATTAAAAATAATATAAATGCATGTTGTAAACTGTCTTTTTTTATAATTATCAACTAGAAACTCAAAACTCTTAAAAAATATTATTCGAAAAAAAATAGTATTTTTAAATAATACAGGGTGCTTCGTTGGAACAAAGTTAGCAGAGCTTTAAAATATTATAAAACTTTTCTAAAACAATTACTACATTTTAATATTAATATATTGTTCGAATGAAGCTAGCAGAGCACCTCCATTTTTTTAAAGGTTTTTCCTAAAAAGATCTACGCCTCATTTAAGGCTATTTTTAAGCTCGTAAAATATTATAAAACATTCCAAAAAAATTTGTCATTTGTTTTTTAGGTTTTTTTTAAGACTCCTAAGCCTAAAAATGTGGTGTGGTTGTTTTTAGAAAAAAGCTTTAAAAAACAGCGGTGCTCTGCTGGATTCATTCGAAGCTAGCCTTAAAATAGCCTAAAAATATGTCATAGATTTCAACTTAAAATTGTCTAGGTGCTCTTCTGCCTTCTTTGACATCCTAACCAATCACTTTTTAAGAACTGTAAATCTGTTCATAATTAACCAAGAAAATTACTGTTTATTTTTTTAATTTAAGACAATGTTTATGTGATATAACCTGATGAATTAAGCTGGGATACCCTGTATACATAATAGACACAAAGAGTGATACATCGTTGAAATCAACTCGTCGAGGGACTATAAAAATGTAAAAATATACAGGCCATTTAGAATAAAGAAATTTCGCATCAATTTCTATAACCGAAAGTGGTTGGATTCTATGGGTTGAATATCCAAAATATTCTAGATCAGTGTTTCTCAAAGTGTGCTTCGCGGAACCATGGGGCTCCGCAAAGCCTCATCCGTGGTGGCTCCGCGAAAATAATACTAAAGGGAGGACCTGGTTTGAGGACCTTTTTTTTAGATATCACTAAGAAAGGGCTCCGTCAAATATTTCGTTTTTGAAAAAGGTTCCGTCACCAAAAAAGTTTAAGAAACACTGTTCTAGATCGATAGAGCGCCTTCGAAAATCCACGTACTTAATTTTCACTAGAATATCTCAATTCGTTTATGAGGTATAGTGTGGATGAGTTAGTCTGGGATGTACCTTGTTTATAAGAGTATTTATCAATAAACTTGAGCTCAATAAACAGCGCGTGTCCGCGTTTTGATGCATTAATCAGAACGCTTTTGCTTTTTAAGATCAAAGATCAACATCTTTCTTTAAAAACTTATTATGTTTTAACGTGTTCCAATATGTGTTTTAAGAAAAAAAAAAAAACGCTATTCTTGTTACCCAAAATTGTGAAAATGTTTATTTGATAAACATGAAAATATAAAAAGGCCCGGAAGTTTATGGAATGGCGGAATGACATTGGAATAGGTTATTAGCATTAGTTTTGTTGAATGTTGTAATACACTTTTGATAACCCCAAGTTTTAAATTTACTTACATGAATAAATCGTTTAAAATAGAATAGAACAAAACGATATTTTTGAAGTTATATAATAAAAACAAAAAAGTAGTTCATTCGAAAAATTTAGAATACTTGTTTTTTCTTCTCAAGACTTTTTTTCAAGAATAAACTCTAAGTGTAGGATAATACTTAAACATAATACTTAAAAACTAAATGAAAGGGGAGTGCAGTAAAAGTGGGGATATAACGTCACATTCCATAGGCGTACTTTTAAAAATAAGTGTCTATAATATAAATAGGTTCACGGCATATAAAATGGTATATACGCACTTAAATTTTTAATGAAAAAAGTTATATTATTTACAAAAAAAGAAAAATAAACCTTATGCTTGTGACAAAACTGTTGTACTTTAACATTGAATGGATTAAATTTAACCAATAAATAACAATGTTGTTAATAGGATTAAACTTTTTTTAATCTCTTGGCATTAAAAGTAACACTTTAGTAGGTACCTACCTAAAATCAAAGATTAAAAAAATAAAAAGTTCAAGAACTATCTTTAAAAGTCACTGCCTTCTTTCCAAAATTAATTTTCCACCTTTTTAACATGATCAATGGATTTTCAAGAAACATAACTTTTTAATATTGACCAGATCAGTTCAATGGGATTTAACTCTGCGTGGTAAGGAGGCAATCTGAGAATTTAAATTCTTTTTTCTCGGGCCATCTCGTCTATAATATATTTTTTGAATTTGTTTTTATGTTGCCTTGCTCTCACGAGTAATTCTGCTTTCCAGAATTTAGGAGGACTAATAATATTTTTAGAATGAAGTCATTCTGAAATATCTTTTTTTTCCACGCGTACTTGTGCTTGCAATATGTTCTAATGCACTCACCATTCTTATATAACTGAAAAATTATAATATATACTAATAAAAAATTCCGTACGGCTATGAATAAATAAAGTCTGACATACCTGTCAAAAGTAAAGATTTATTACAGGAAAAACCATGGAAACATGATTAAATCTAAAATTTTCATTTTAACTTCAAATAAGCATTGAATGATGAGGTATAAATAAAATGTCTACCTCTTGAACCTGTACTACGTTCTGCAAATTAAATTATTGCACTCCTTTCTTCTCTAAACTATAATGTTTAAAAATTAAAAATACTCGGATTGAAAAACCTAAGCTGAATAAAAAAATAATTATTACCAGGATAACACATAGGAATCTAACACTGTATGTAATCATCTCGCAAGAAAATCAATTATATGTATACCTAATCTAAAATGTCATTTAAATATTCCAATTATTATTATTTATGCAAACAATGGTATATCTGGATTCAATAAATAAAAGAAAATTCAAAACATATAATATTGAAATAAAAAAAAACTGAACCCATTATTTTATTTGAGAGAAATTAAATTACAAATCAACAAATATAAAAAAAAATACAAATCAACAAATATAAAAAAATAGAAACCGGTTAGTTATTAAAGTTTATTTTAAACAAATTATTTCTTTGAAATATGAATTTTAATCTCATAATAAATCAACTACGATGAAATCAAAATGTAAATATATTGTTTGTTATCTATAATAATAATGAAAATAAAAAATTAAAAACCAGTTAATTGTTAAAATTATTCCGAACAAAATAATTTCTGAGTTTACTTTAAAGTTTACTAATCTGTAATGTCGAGAAAACAAATTTCTCATACCGTCAGATAAACAATGTTTATCTGAGCTCATACCCCACCAGTTGACCCTCGCAAAAATTTGCTCATAGAATTTTGATGCTGTCCAGATACAGGCCAGAGTTTAAAATACAGGATGATTTGATAAATATTCGAAAAGTCAAAAATCTTTCGGGTCGAATATTAATTAAAATGTAGTGCATCTTTGTTAACCTAATCCTGATAAAAATTATTAACTGAATTTGTAGAAGTATTTAAAATAATTGAATAATTTTAAAATTCGGAAACAATTCTCAGAAATCCCCCTACGAATTATTAAGACCATCCCCGAACTCCAAAGATGAAAATAAATACTTGGAGATTTGAAAAAAAAGCCTGCCGCAGCCAGGGATCGAACCCAGACATCCTTGTTTGCTAGACAAGTGCCCCTTCCACTAGACCACCAGCGTTTCTCAAAGTGTGCTCCGCGGAGCCCTAGGGCTCCGCAAAGCCTTTGTGGGGGATCCGCGAAGAAAATAATGGTCATAATAAAAAAAAAAACAGTACTATCACTACAAAAGGGATGGATTGGCTTGAGGACCTTCTTTTTGTATTTTAGAAGTTCCTAAGAGGAAGAAGGATATTATTTTGCTTGGAGACCTTGTTTTAAGTCTCTAGGAGGAAGGAGGATATGATTATTTTGCTTGGTGACTTTTTTTTAGAAATATGTTTAGGGCTCCGTCAAATATTTCGCTTTTCAAAAATATTCCGTCGCCAAAAAAGTTTGAGAACCACTGCACTAGACCATCCACGACATATTTAAAATAGGCTATCTACATTATACATTACTGTTAAAAAAATTTATTTCATGCGCTCTGTAACTTGAAAATATTATGTTAAAGATTGGAACTTGAAAAATTGTGTTTTTCAGAGACCTCCGATTTAACAAGATCGAACAAATTCCGAGTGGTATTTTCAAGAATAGCAGTCAACTGTCGACTATACTATTAAACAACAACCACCTTGGCTTTATTGAAGAAGGTAGTTTTGAAGGACTGAAAAATATTCAGCATCTGTATCTGCACTACAACAAAATTCGGTTCATACATCCAAAAGCTTTTCAAGGACTTTTAAAGCTGGAGAGATTGTAAGTAATTTTTTTAGGTTAAAAAAAGGGAAGTTCTTAAGTTTTTTTTTATATTGTAGCAAGTTTATATAGAATATGTATAACAAAGTAAACAAAAATACTTTATTAATGTCTATATACAGGGTAAGTCGGGAGGCAGCGTACAAACTCCAGAAATGCATTATACATGTAAAATAAAATTATAAAAATACTCATAATATGTTCTTATCCGATTTTATTTTCACATAAGGCATGTTCGAAGAACATTTGATAAAGTTTTTATTTTGACAAGGTGTCATTGAATTATGGCAGTGATTGAACGTTTATTGTCTAGTTTAAAAAAATGCCAATTACTTATCACATTTAGATTATGCTTTGTTTATTAATTTTGTAATGGGACTGCAAAGCTGCTGTTGAAACACAT